ATAAGTATATACTTGTCATCATGGAGTATGAACATCTATGACTCATATTATATATAGAATCAAAAAGAAATCCTGGAGAACACATCTTGTAATATATTCAAAAAATATTAGGCCCCACAAAATGTGAAATGGAGACTCACGTTTCCCAGTGACCATGATTCCCTCTCTGAGGGTCTTGGTCCTCGCCTGGGTGAGGATGTAAGAACAGAAGTTCTTTGTTTCTTCCTTGAAGTAAGGATCCAATTGTTTGTCCTCAACCTTCTCAATATTGGCTAGGAGTTTTTTGTCATTTGTTGGCCGGTCAAAGACAAAACATTTCCGTCTTGGAAAGAAATTCCGGATGCACTCTCTTCGGAAATTGGATATTTGAGCTTTGTGATTCATGCCTGAAAGGTTAAAACAAACAAACAAACAAAAACAGGTATTAGAGTAGAAGCAGTCTAAGGACAAGGGACCTAAATATTTTTATGACAGGGATTTTTGTATCTTTGCCAAATTCTCTCTGTATTACTTCTGTGTGTAACTCCTCTAGCATGGACATCCAAATGCTTCTTTAACATAAAATTTACCATGATCCAACTCCAGGGAAAATTTTTTGAAGAGATCAACATAGTTAAAAAAACAACAACAATGACCTATTGCTACTATCAGACCTAAAAATGGTAGAGTATTGTGTGTATTGTCTATATTGGTTACTGTATGAATAACAGAAACATGGGTCAAATGTATGTTTTGGTCTACTTGATCACATGGGGAAATGAAGCTATGGATCAAAATGAAGAGCCCAAACAAGACTTAATGAAGCAATGTTAGAAATAACAGCAGATTATTTAAGGAAAACTGTTTGGATGCTAAAAATGAAGTGTACAGCATTAGCTCTTAAAAAAATAAAAACCTCTGAAGAGTGAAGAGCTAAAATGTAATTTTTTAAAAGAATATATATTTTATTGATTTTTTACAGAGAAGAAGGAAGAGGGATAGAGAGTTAAAAACATCAATGAGAGAGAAACATCCATCAGCTGCCTCCTGCACACCTCCTACTGGGGATGTGTCCACAACCAAGGTACATGCCCTTGACTGGAATCAAACCTGGGACCTTTCAGTCCACAGGCCAATGCTCTATCCACTGAGCCAAACCGGTTAGGGCTAAAATGTAATTTTAAGATATTACCATTAGTCTCTAAATTCTTTAAGGTAAAGAACTATATTCAATCTTATAGTTTTGCTGTGTAGCCTATTTCTCATTGTTTTTGAGAAACTATGAATAGAAACATGAAATCAAGAGTGTATAAATCAGAAGTGATGTTCCTTTCAAGGTTTCATCAGATACCTACATGCCCATGTAAATATAACCCATTCATATGTTTTTATTATTTTTAAATTATAGCATGGGTAAATATGTGGAAATGGAAAAAAGCTATGATACAGAAAGAAAGATTTAACGTAATTAAAATGTCTATAATGCCCAAAGCAATCTATAGCTTGAACATAATCTCATTCAAAATACCAATGGCATTTTTCACATCACTACAATAAATAATCCAAACAT